TTTTTTAATTTGCTGCGCATTTTCATTTTGTTTCTGCTTTTTCTTTTGTGTGTGTTTTGTCTCTAGGGGCCACCGTAAAAAATACTGTATTGTAACAGGAGGCTGACCGACATGCTTACAAACAGGAGATCCCTGAAGAAAATCCCAAGCAGGCATTAAACGCTCAGGAAAAACACTACAAAGTCTCATTCGGAGAAGAAGGCAAACTGATTACAGAAAGACAAGAAGTGAATCTGGGGATAATCTGGGAGGAAACAGACGCAGAGGCAGCCCCCCCCCCCCCGGCAGCACGGGCCGCTGAACCCTCCACCTGATTCTCAACTGCCATAATCCCTAAAGCCAAAAAACAAACCCTCCCCCCCCAACGGATGAAGGGAAGCCAGATGGCCTAGAAAAAGAATTAAGGAAGCGTGCTACTTCTGTGAGGAGGTCACTGTTAACATTCATTTTTATTTAAAGCACGATCAAGCCAATCAAGGATTCGGCACATTAATAAAAAGTTAGTTATAAAAAAACTCCTCTCCATATATATATAAAAAATTCCTCTCCAAATACAGTCATGGAAAAATTAAGAGATCACTCTATTTTGAAATAAATCTGCATTTTTAAATCCCGGTTTAACCGCGGTTCTGCTGACAGAGGCTATGCTGAGCAGCAGGATGGTTCCAGGTTCAAAATTTCTAAGACAGCAGCACACAAGTATAAGATGAAGCAGGAGACACTGGGAACGACCAGAAACCAGCCAGGTAGAGGGCAGAAGCGACTTTCTAATGCTAGAGATGACTAAACTTATCCTACAGTTTCTTATGAAATGGAGGATGGCATCAAGTGACCTTCAAAAGGAATGGGAAACATTAAGTGGTGTGAAGGGCACGGCTAGGACAGTTTGTATCAGGGTCCTAGAAGCAGGACAGAAGTCACATAAAGCAAGGAAGAAGCCCTTAACCAATGAGAAAAAGAGAACCAGGCTGCAGTTTGCAAAATTGAAATAATTTTTACATATAGATGCTCCTCTACTTACAAAGGAGTTACGTTCCGAATGGCCGCTCGTAACATGAAATGTTCGTAAGTCATTATTCAACATCATTTTATCAGTATACGCAAGTACTAAGAACTAGCATGATGGGAGTACGCACGTTACGCTGCTGCACGGCGAGAGTAGCGGACAAAAGTCATACTAGGCGGAATTGGCACACAGAAGAAAAAATTGATGTTGTCGGACAGGAAACGGGAGCCCAATGAAGACAATTTGGACTTACAGTCCTCTTCGTTCGTATGTCTGAAAGTTCGTAAGTTGAGGAGCGTCTCCATATATAAATTCATTCACAGACACACACCCATAAACTGAGAAATGAGTGGAACGAAAAACTGTGCTGAGGTCTCTTAACTTTTCCCATGGCTGCGTATGTCATTACATGCACAAATGGAAAGTAAGGGATAGGTGGAGTGCATGAAAAGATAACCAAAGACCAATAAGTCTGTTAATATCCATGACTAACTGTACTGTACTTATTCATACATAAATCAGTAATATCACGTCAAGCTATTGCCTCAACTTTTCATTTAATCTCTTCCATTTCGCTTTTTGGCTCAGAAGTGCACCAGGATGAAACGCCACGAAGGGGACATCAACAGCCTGTCAGATATTAATATACAAATATGCCTGCCTGCCCACCCACCCATCCATCCATCCATCTTTGGGGCTGCATTCAGCCAAGAACTGGGGATAGAACCAATAACACGTCATTTCCAGCTCGGTTCAGGTCATATTCTACAGAATCGTGCGCCAAAGGGCGTCTCTGTGAGCAGTCAGTCTGCCACTCAGAGCACCACCCAGTCATATGGGAACCACAGACAATTCCCTGTGGCATTTCATAAAGCCTTGTCAAGAACCCAAGGGTCCAGACGGGCTCGTGTTACTAGACTCCATTCAGCTGTAATATAAAGCTCATCTGAGCGGCAATGCGGCATTACGGCCCGGCCGACACGCCTGCCCGCGCTCCAGCTTTGGGGCGACGAGAAGACCGCCGGCTTTCCACGACACTCCCGCCTCACCGGGAAAATCTGTGGTATTGCACACATCACCCCGAGGCTTCCACTTACATCAAAACCTGCCCAGATCTGACAACTTGAGGAAAAGCATAGATTGAAGTTCCCACAGTACTGAATCTGAAAAGCCACTGACTTAATGGCATGTTAAGTTCCATCGGTGCTGGAGGCAATGCAGCACTAAGATGAAAGTCTAACAGTGGAGAGTCTCTGTAGGATCTCTGACACCTCTGACATCTGTAGTTTAACAGAATGCACATTACGCTAAATCATCTTCCTGACAAGTTTCCTTGAATAGCACCAACAGTAAAAACCGTAAAACATCATAAGCGTTAACATATTTGCACATCTGCATTACTTAGATGAAGAACTTGAGTGACGACGGCGTATCAGAGGCTGCAGGGGGCACCAGCCACATCCGGACACTCACCTTGTTGTCTCCTCCCGACACGGCCAGGATGTTTCCCGTGATGGACCAGCTGACGTGCCAGACCACGTCGTTGAACTTGTGCAGCAGCTTCGCCGTCCACGTGTTCCCCGCAGGGTCATCGCAGGTCCAGATGAACACCCTGCCGTCCTGCAGAGGAAGAGCAAGAGGTGGGGAAAGGAATTTTAATTCAATTTTAATATATTTTTATATAGTGCCTTTCACCAGTGTTGCCACAAGGTGTTTTTGAGCTATCATGTTTTAAGACATTACTACATGACTTATACAGATGGGCCGGCTATTGGCTTGGCGGGCTAAGCCTTTGTCTGCCACTGGAAGGTCACCAGTTTGAGCCCCATGCTTTGGCAAAATAGGCAAGATCCTTGTCACTACAGAATCTGAGTCAACCGTGGATACAAGTCATGCATGCACCAGCACCGAAAGCCAAACACAAAAGGAACTAAAAACTAACTAAAAGCAAGTCAAATAAATAAAAATAAAAAAAACATATGTCCAGTTCCTGTGAGGGGCTTTGCCAGTGTCAATACCGACAAGCATAATCAGCCATTTTATGAAAATTTATGCAAATACACGAGATGGGCCTTAACTTTCTGTAACTAGCAAGGGTGCAGGTTTGGCAGATGGTCTCAAGTCCTTCATTACTTGAATAGTTTAATACTTTAATAGTTTAACACGGTTGCCCAACTCAAATCCAACTCAAAATCAGTTGACTCAAATCCAATAGTGACCCCCCCGCCCCAGGGGTGCTGCACGCAAGGTCGACAGGCTGACCAACCCACCCAAGGACATGCTAACAATACAGTGAATAACACGTAAAAATGTCTAATAACCATGATTTTCTAGGGGAGGAGCAGTTATAGCACCTCATGTTCTGTCTAAAGCAGAAAACACAACAAAGTTTTCTGCCGAGAAAGTTACAGGAAACCACGTCTGAGATTGAGCTTCAGGACACACGGCTTCCATGGCGTACCGATTACTCTGAGGAACCACATCGCGGCGTACCGATCACTCTGAGGGACCACCTCGCGGCGTACCGATCACTCTGAGGGACCACCTCGCGGCGTACCGATCACTCTGAGGAACCACCTCGCGGCGTACCGATCACTCTGAGGAACCACCTCGCGGTGCCTCGGCACCTAATGACACGTGACGGGCTTTCCCGGGAGCCGCCGCCTGACTGTCGCTCAGAGAAGATCTGGGACGCTGGAAAATAATACTGACTATTCAGCAAAGCAGGACGGAGTGGGAGGTCAGAGGGGGAACACCACTGGCTTGGTCAGAGACGCTGATCAGTCACCTCATCCTCTACTCATTTATGTTATTTCACAGCATCTGTGAATTGTACATTGGAAGCTGTAACAAAGGTGCACATCAAAATACGAATAATTAACAAAACACCAAAAGGGCATTCAAGTCATTATTCATAGCTGGGTCTCGCGTCGGGAGGAAATATCCTAATTTAACATCCAGCCATGAATCCATGCACTCTCCAACCACTAGAGGGCCATGGTGACTCTAGAGGCTCCTAGACACACAAGGCATGAGGCATGAGACACCCTGGATGGGCCGATGCTCACAGGAGCAGCAACTTATAGCCAATCTGGAGACTGGGGCACCATACAAACTCTGCAGACACTAACGACAAGTGTCGCAGGTGTAAGGATACAGTGCTGAAGGACTGGCCACCACTCTGCCCCCCAATACCCATCACTGGCTCATTCAGCATTAAAAGGTATTACTGGGGACTCAAGGCCACCGATTAAGACAAATAACCAAACAGGAAGTGGGGTGATGAAGATACTGGCACCAAGGCATGTCCGCGGAACCGATTCCTCATGACATCATCACACACGGTATGAACACACTGGATGATGGATAAAGTAATCTGATTTTACAAGCCGGCGAGAAATTTATATCAAAGACAGTCAATATTCGGTTCCTTCTTATACGGTGTGAGTCTTCCATATGATGAAGTGCGACAGGAACGAAATCTGAGAAGCTGAAAGCCGAACTGAGAAACAGGAGGAAGCAAACCACTCTGGGGCTTTGGGCAAAAGCTTAAATGTGGTGATTAATCCATCTGGTTGGGCTCTGTGGGGACTGCACTGCCTGAGGGACTTCAGAAGACAACAGAAGATTCTCTGAGGCCGACTTGAAATATTTTCTACGAATCAGAACGAGTAAGAAGAGAGCACTTTAAAAGATAAGGATGGACAAACAGCAAAAACGACCACATACTGACTAATGAAGAATGTATCTAACACAGACATCGACGATCCACCCATTCAGCTTTCAAGCCCTTAGCCAGTACAGGGTTACAGAGAGTCTGGAGTTTTCCCTGGGGAGTACAAGGCGGGGAAAATACCCTGGACTGTGTGCCTCTCCATTGCAGGACACAACATTCACCTGACGGGCTCATGAACCATTGACGTTATTCATTTGATTCTCAGTCTGTATCCAGAGCACTCGATTCAGCAGGTGTGTCATCGCCAACTGAAGCAGTGCATTTCTCTGCATACAAACCACCCCCCCAGCAGAGATAGTACAGGTAACATACTGAATGCTGCCCCATCTCAGCTGAACAATGATTTATTACTGCGGAGGCTGAAATCTCAGCGCCGATAAGTTTCGTTTGCCAAAACAGAGTCCAAAAGAGCCAAACTAGCTCTTGTTATAGATGGTCATGTTGAAATTTCATGCCAATGGGAAGGAAACCAAGAGGAAGAGCATTAAATCAAACTGGCAGCTCAGAAGCCCTCCCGGGTGTGGGGCTCATTTAATCGGGAGGGTGCAGGCGGCCGAAGGGGAGGGCAGGCGGCCGAAGGGGAGGGCAGGCGGCCGAAGGGGAGGGCAGGCGGCCGAAGGGGAGGGCAGGCGGCCGAAGGGGAGGGCAGGCGGCCGAAGGGGAGGGCAGGCGGCCGGAGACAGACTTGCCTGCGAGCAGCTGGCAATGGTGCTGGTGGGAAGACCTATAGAGGGCGCCCAACCCACGTCCCGAACCCAGTCGCTGTGGGCCTCCAGCTTCTGGTCCTCCTTCCACTGGCCGTCCTCCTCCCTTGGGGAGACGGTATTTCGTGAGGTGACTCTTTTGGCCCCTTCAGAGCTGGATACGAACGCCGGCCTTGATCCACAGCACTTACTTCCACAGCTTGACCAGGTTGTCGCAGCCACCTGAGACAAACCTCTTGACGTAGTTCGGCTTCTGACCCGACGGCTGGTCGATGAGACTGCCGGGTACGACGGCCGGCGCCCAGCTCACCGCGTTACAGCCAATCTGACGGGAAAACGGGGGATGGTAGACACAGATACAGACAATGTAATGTCAGAGCTTAAATATATTGATGTTTATTAAAAAGTTTCCCCTCAAGATAAACCTGGAAGCAGAGGAAAGAATGAAAGGGAGGAGAATAAAAAAAAAAAAAGCAAAGATACATTCATTTATCACCCGAAGCGGATATACAGACATTTTATATGCAATAAATCAAGGGAAAGATTTATAAGACATTTATTCCTCCTCGTCACCAAAAAGTAGTAAAGGCTGTTGTTTCTGTTTGTCTGCGTAAAAAAAAACATAAACAGCGGGTTCAACAGCGAATGAATTTCTGGCAGATGGATGAAGGCAAACTGGAGACCCAGTAACGTGCTACTCTACTGGGAGAGAAGGAGAGACGGCCGAGTGAGGAGAGCTCACGGTGTGCGCGTTGGGGATCTTCTTGACGTCCCACTGGCCATCACCCGAGAACGTCAGAAGCGAGATGGCGCCGTCTGAGCTGCCGCAGGCGAGGAGGAGCCCGAAGTCGCAGGGACCCCAGCAGACAGAGTTCACTGCGGGGGGGGGGGGACAGCATCATTTTTATAAAGCACCTTGCCCAAAAAACTGCTATCCTTAATGATCTTAATGGGGCATAATGACACCTACAGTTTTAAAACTGACATAATGAAGGGACGACAAAGGAGGGGAAACAAACTTCAATTGAAGCCTGAGCTTCACCAAGCATGCTAACAAGTCAGAAACACAGGTATCATTCGCCTTATAAGCGTTTCCTTTACGCCGCTTCGCTTTTACGAAAGACCAATGACATTATCAGCAAGTCATATTCAGTCATGAACCGCATAACATTTCAGTCAACAAGACTGCTTATAGGAAGGTGGTCCGAATAGATAATAGACCTGAAAAATTCCCATCGGCTACCTACCTTGCAGCAATCGTAACATCGCAGCGCTATGCATTTCTCACGTTTGTGGTGATGCTGGTATAATCAAACATCCTGAGCTGCCAGTCGTATAAAAGTATTGCACATATAATTATGTACAGTACATAATACCTGATAATGATAAGCAACTGTGTTACTGGCTTATCCGTTTACTATACTGTACTTTTTATCATTATTCAGGCTATACCATACAGCATATGTGCGTAGCAGGGTATATCTTCGGGATTTGTGTGTAAGGGCTAGCAGTAAGCCAAAATATTAGAGCATATTGCGATGCTCAAAAGTTAGTAATCTGTATGAATTCTGCGTATCCTTATAATTAGTGGAGTGCACCACATGCAACTTTTGTTATGCCATGAAAGTGATAAGCAATTAATCGAGGTGAAGAAAGGGGCAGCTCAGGAGATCATGACATCTTTTAAGAGAGATATTATAATTAAACAAGGTAAAAATATGTTGGTGGTGTGGCGGCACTTTTTGCAGTTTAAACTCCAACATGTTTCCTTGTAAATATAGTTTTCATTTTAATTTCAGTTCAAGAATTATGTTTTTATTTAGTGACCGTTTTTGTCTCTGTTTTAGTTTACGATAATAACACTTGTCCCAAACAGCCCAATGTGCATGAACACCATTAATCAGCATGGAATAAGCCCAGATTCATTTTCACAAACACTTGTGTGTGTCTGCGTTACAATTTTGCTGGTTTTTCCTATTCTGGCGGTCTAGAGCAGCACCTGTGCGTTTTCTCTTCTGTTTTAGTTTTCATGTATTTCTTGGTATAACTTTGTAGGTTATTTTTTTCGGTCTGGCAATGCTCAAAAAATAATGATAATTGCTTATTCACTTTAGTCATTCAGCCATTTCGGCTTATGAAAGGTTTCATAGGAACTTCCTATTTTTGTAAAGTGGGGAATACCTGTACACACACATAAATACATGAGTGACGTTTGTATATAAGGGAGTTTCATACACATCTCATCATGCATACTTATGTCCATACTTACCCAAAACAGGGCTGTGGATCCCAAAAACCAAAAGCGCACTAACTGATTGGTGACAAAGACGAAGATGCACGACGAGGGGGGGGGGGGGGGGGGATGTACACTGTCACCCGCACACCAATTCAAGCTCCTCCCACTGGGTTAGACCTAGCAGAGACTGACGACCCATGCTGATCCCGTTCACGTGGGGGCTCTGAGGCACTAACCTGACGAGTCGTGGCCTGTGTACTCAAACATCTTGTCCCAGGTGCCATTCTCCTCCTTCCAGATGATGACCTTGCGGTCATAGGAGCAGGACGCCAGGGTGTTTCCATACATGGGGTGTGCCCAGGCTACCTGCCACACAGGGCCCTCGTGGCTGTTAGGGGCAACCGGAGCAGAGAGGCAGCAGGTCAGAGGTCAGCGTGGGGCCACCGGGCAGAGATGGAGCCAGGGGTCCATTGCTTATCACACACTCAGGAACAACATCACCCACCAACAAATCACTGCATATTACTTTCAGGGTGGATTTCTTTGTTCTGATTCCACCTGGGTGTCTAATCGCAGGCATAGTAATGAACAACACAAAAAACACATTTCAGAAAAAGCTGTTCATGATGTTACAGGTCTGCAGAACCAATCAATGCAGTCCTATAACTCTGAGATCCTAAACACGCTTGGGAAATCCTGTGACATTGATCAGCAAGTGACATCAATGAAACCCATGTGTGGCAATATTAAACTTCGATGGTACAGGGGCTCAGTAAAACTGTTTCACATCTCACCTCGACAGCAAACGCAAACTCACCCTCTCAAATCTGCCACAAGGATCTGCCCGCCGTTCTTCACATCAAATATCTTGACAGACCTGTCTGAGGAACACGTGGCCAACCTCGTTCCATAATAGTCCATCTGAGCGTCGTGCTAAAGGGGGGAAAAAGACGACATCCATTCTTTTCAGTGAAGCCGGGAAGACAAAAAGGACCGGCTATTTTGAAACTTGCAAAACCAAGGGCTTCTACTCTCCAGCAACATCCAAAAATGCACTCAACCAAAGCAGGGGCAAATGTAAACTTCCTCTCATAGTTACAGGACACTGAGAGAATTGCATAAAATTACTCCCATTAATATTAGCAAGTAGAGCAATACTACATACAATCATATCCTCATGGGAAGTATCCACGGTGTTGATAACCGAAACCTGCAAATGAAAAAAGAGCATTAACTTTAATATCCCACCAAAGTACACATTGAATAACCAACTATCAGGTCACATGTTCAATGATGTATACAGCAGTTTTTGCTTTTTCCACTGAAGTATCAGAGTAATTTTAAAAGCTTAAAACAATTAGAGAAAAGAAAACCAACTAGGCTGCTATCAATTGTCAGGGTGCTTTACCTATATTAATTTTTGAAAATGGAATGTACATTTGCACTGACGAACACCCTCAAGACTGGACAGATCCAAGAGTCCAAGCAAGTAAAACCTTAAAGGGCAAAAAGTGTGGAGGTCGCAGTAAAATAACGACGTTTTACTTAAGGACACAATACTTTCCAATCGCTCTTGTTTAACCCAGCTAAAATGTGTCACTGCTTTTGAACAGACTGTGGTAATTATCAGGACAGTCATGTACAGATGCCTAATTCTGCCTGCAAAACATTCGTTAATAAACAGTTAAGTCATGGGAATGAAAGACCCATCTACGGAACCATCACTCATCATATCTAAAGATTACAGAGCTGGACTCAGAGCCACGCTGGACGCGGGTTGAAAGTCCCATGAGAGGCCCTCTCCTTACAGCTGTCCCTCAGCAAGGAAAACCTGCCAGAACTGCTCAAGTGAAATAAAAAAAAACTTTGTAAGTATATCTGCTTAACCGGAAAAGTGTTTGCCAAAATCCCAGCGAAACAATTACTTGTAATTAAGTTACCAGCTACCCAGCTAAGTATAAGATACTTGAATGAATCCATAGAAATTTCATATTTCCTTCACTGCCAGGTAGTATTCAGACTTAATGATTTCCAGTGACAATCTACAAATAATGTTACGTTATCAGCTTGAAACTCACCATGGCTTTGTTGGACACGACCGATTTCTAAAAATATTAATGTAACCGCTTTGATAAGCGCCGTTATTTATTTTCCCAGCTGTAACTCGCCCCGGTTTTCGACGTGGCAAGAGCACCGCTCGCCGCCAGCCTGTCTTCCGTGTACGTCCAGTTTCCGGTCTCGGGTGACAACAAAGCGTCGCGCTGAGAAGGTTCCGCCTTCGGCACGTATTTCTTGACGCATCGGTCATAAGCCCCACATGGGGGCAGCATGGAGAGGAAAATTAATTTCGCTGCTGGCTATTTATATCACCCATTGCCTGCCTACTGTTCAGTATCGTGTTTCCCAGTTTGTTCTTGGACCGAGAATGTAATTTTGCCCCTGCTTACGCCATGTTCTCCAGTTAAACTCTTCTCCATTTTAAAAGTTATGTTTCAAGGATTATTTTCTTGCTCTCAAACAAAGTATTAGGAATAAAATAAGAATGACTCACGTATCATATCACATCTCCAACCTGCTGGAGAAAATGACATCTACTGACAAAGATTTTAGGTAAGTCTACACATTTAACAAACTTTAGGACAACTGTTTACTTTAAACGTAAAACGTATATGGAAATGAAAATCGATTTTCCACAGTCTGATAATTAATCATGTATTTATATTGATATTTTTGTGCGCCATTTAATTTAAAATATTCCGAAGTTATTTCCCTACAGCACTTAGTCATAGTACATGGAGGACAGTCGGAGTGACAACTGGCATCGCTGCATATAATAATTATTTTAGTTTGACGTACATTATATAATTTGTATTTATGTTTACGGAAACGCAGACGTAAACAAATTAATAGTTTCTCCATTTTAAGGTATGTTATAATTAATCATGACTGATGTTATGTATGTAGTAGGCTAATTAATGTGTTTAACCTGATAACACTAACTGAACATTTTCCAATTAAGAAAATGGTTTGTCACGCAATAAACATGTAATAAAAATAGAATAACTTGTACTTACCGAAATATTTATTTGTTATTAAATAATGAAAATCTTTTGACGTTTATTAGGCATAATACAAGGCGCTGCCACAAGTTGCAGTGTTTTTGGAAAAAATATAATACTTGTATGTTTGAATTTGGAAAGCAAACGATCATGCAAAAAAAGATCATTAAAGATATGGAGAATGTGTTGAATCTGGCATCTTATTGCGGAATTTGTACTATTTTGTACTACTATTTACACCACGAAAATACTGTAAAAACAAACAACAACAAAAATAGAGTAACTATAAGGTTAAGAAATTTGCTCCACCTACACTCTGCCTGGGTCTTATACTAGTAACCTTGTTTGTTCCACTTGACCGTAGCACTACCTTCTGTCCATGCATGAAAATAGGTATATCATCAGTTGTTTATAGCATTACATACAGCTGGACTTCTTTAGTATATAGTATATTAAAGCCTAATTGATGGCCCACTCATTATTGACTTTAGGTTTATGGCCACCAATGACCTGATGATGGAACTGCAGAAGGACTCCATCAAGCTAGATGAGGACAGTGAGAAGAAGGTTGTGGCCATGCTGCTGAAGCTTCTCGAAGACAAGAACGGAGAGGTCCAGAATCTGGCAGTGAAGTGGTGAGAGAAAACTGTCCCTTCGACCTGCAGGGGCCCCCTGGTGGAGAACGTTTGAAACATATTCATCCACCAACCCGATTATTTGTGATGATTTATCTGTTTGTGGTCAAACTTGCCTAGACAGAAACACAGGTAGTACGGTATATAAATGAACGGGGACTTGGCATTAATACAGACCTTGTTTGTAAATCCATGCTTACATCGATCCATATATCACACCGATGTTTGTTTGTATGTGGTATTTCGGGCAAATCTGAGTGGCTGTGCTGTTCGCTGTGCAGCTTGGGCCCGCTGGTGAACAAGGTGAAGGAATATCAGGTGGAGACCATGGTGGACACCTTGTGCTCCAATATGATGTCAGAGAAAGAGCAGCTGAGGGACATCTCCAGCATGGGGCTAAAGACCATCATTGCAGAGCTTCCTTCCTCCTCTTCGGGTATTTACTCTCTTGGATAACTGTGTTTTGCTGTTTCTCTGATGATTTTGTTCAAAATGTAACCTATAGTATTTATAGGGATATTTTCAGTGGATTAATTGAAGATCAAAGCTCAAAGGTGCTGGCATGCTATTTGGATTGTGACCCAGAAACCTTCAGTTCATCAGTCCATCATCTTAATCACTGGTGAAATTTGTTGACACTGTTCAGTATTACTTTACCCTGTAGCTTAGGGATAAGGAAAGTAAAACAGAGGCGCTAACTCAGAACATCGCTGACATAGATTGGAAATTGTCTTAGAGCTGATAGCCAACTTTCTTAACTAATGACTGTACAGTATGTACAGGAGGTGGACAGAGTAACAGAAACACCACATGAAAAAACACTGTTAACTATGAATTGACTAAATTGTATTCGCAAACAGAGCTATGAAGGTGAACGCAGACGTGGAAATTTAAGTTCCAGAAAGTAAAAATCTAGACCAAAATTTTGTTTCAGCCAACCAGTTGAGTACTGTCACAGTGACTCAACTGAGTGTTTGATTTTTACTTCCTGGATATTACATATTGGGGAGCGCGGACCAAGGAAGCAGAGGCAGGACTCGAGCTGTCGGGAGAATATGAGGTTTAATCAAAGGGAGGACACGATCGGGAGACAACCACATGACGTCAATGACCAGACTGGGGAAACATACCGTAACGCGAACTTAAATACACAGGACTAATCAACATGACTGGAAACAGCTGGTGACTTAAGGATTCCACACGAGGTACCGAGGGGGGCGTGGCACACGGGAGGATCGGACGAGCAGGGTATGACACTGGAGCTGAAATTTTCACCTCTGCTTGAAAAGTCTGGAGTTGTTCTGAAGACAAAGGGTTGCCCAGCTTCTTTCTGGGGCCTGGACTTTAATATATTTTTATTTTATTTTGTGCACCCCCTGTACATACATCCACTTTCACTGGATGTCCACTTCAATTAAACCTCAAGCTTTTTTACTATGTGTTATGGAAGCAGCGGAAACATACAGATTTGTGTGCCTTGCAGGTCTGAATCTTACAGTCAGCGTCTGCAAAAAGATTACGGCCCAGTTGATCGGGGCAATAGGGAAGCAGGACGATGTGTCGGTGCAGCTGGAGGCCCTAGACATCTTGTCGGACATGTTGAGCAGGTAGTGTGTTTTTCTTAGTATGATATATGGCGTCCATTTTCACCGAATGTTTAAGGAAGATGCCAGCTCGCGGTGAGTGGGATTATCTTGGACTTTCAAAGAAAGTCACCATCTGGAATCATTGACAGGCCCACAGTCAGTAGTGCTTCAAGCTTATGCAGTGTTTTGGGGGAGGCAACAGTAAAAGTGCACCCCATTGGAAGATGCCATCCTGGCCAATTGGCCACCTTGCCCTTGCCAGGATTTGCCACTGCCAAGTGGGGGTGCCGTAAGTGGGGGATGTTAGGATGATTGCAAATTTGGAACATAGTTAGATTGGTCTGGGCTGGGGGTTCCATATCACTGGCAGCACCCCTACTGCCCACAATAATCCCATGGCCTGGTGGGTATAAAGGTCCGGCTGCTTGAGCAGATCCTCGCTGAGTCCCGTGCCCCCCGCAGGCTGAGCGGCACACTCCTCAGCTTCCACGCATCCATCCTGGACAGCCTCCTGCCCCAGCTGACCAGCCCACGGCTGGCCGTCAGGAAACGCGCCATCATCGCCCTCAGCCACCTGGTGGCATGCTGCAACAGCGCCCTCTTCAGCCAGCTCATGGAACACCTGCTCGCGGAGCTCTCCCCTGGGAAGGTGACCTCGGCCACCCGCACCTACCTCCAGTGTCTGGCCACAGTCAGCCGACAGGGGGGGCACAGAATAGGTGAGCAGTGCATCCTGTTTACAGGTGCTAGACTTGTATTGTTTAAATGTATTAAATAAATATCCCCTGGGCTATGGGGATATAATGAGTCGAGGGGCACAGTGTTCCTAGCTCCTCATGTATGGGTGTGTGTGCAGGGGAGGGTTCAGGTTCCCACTGTGTTACCAGCCATACAAAACTGAATTTGCATCCGTACACTTATATACTTCACTGATTGAAATCTTACCCGCGTTTCCACAGGGCAAAGAAATAAGTCATTAAAACTGGATGAGATTACTGATGCATGGTAATAAGTCATATCATTGTCATAAGTAGCTGCATGACTCAGGATCTGATTCACACTAGGAGGTTTATTGTAATACAGCTATGGTGAAAGACATAGTACTGAATCTGTGCTGCTGTTTGTTCACCCATCCAGTCTATTGTAGGGGACACACACGCACACACAGAATTATACCGTCCACCTTCAGACGGCTTATCCAGGCCTGGGTCATGGGGGCAGAATTGGAGCCTGTCCCAGGCAGCATAGGATACAAGTCAGGGGTACACGCAGAACAGGATGCCAACCTGTTGTACTTGTGGCAGTAATTACACAAAAATGTTCTGAGGGCAGAAAGAAAAATGATTGGTTCAGAGAGATAACCAATCAGATTATAGAGGAGGCAGGACCAAGACATCTGATTGGTTGGTCCCATCTCCTTTACTTGCTTCGACCTACCCCTTCTACAATCTGATCGATTATCGTTCCAACCATACAGGCACATATTATTAGTGCCCAGTAGAAGGCAGTATTGCATCAGAGTGGTTCATCTGCTTCTCTATTGGTTAATTTTGTCACAGGTGAACACCTGGAGAAGATAATCCCACTGGTAGTGAAGTACTGCGGTGTTGAGGATGATGAGCTGAGGGAGCACTGCTTTCAAGCCTTTGAGGCTTTTGTGCGCAGGTGAAACAGCTCGTATATTTTATCAGACGTTCCTGTGTACTGCAGCTTCACGAGAGTAAATCAGAACATGCAAGATTTTTAATTCCAGTGACAAACACAGACAATCTATAGCAGTCATGACTTTCTGTTAGATACATAACCAATAACAATTATTTGTGTTATTGTTATTTGTTATTGTCTTGTAAGGTGCCCCAAGGAAATGTCATGTCATATCTCCACAATCATCAAACTTTGTTTGAAGTACATTACGTATGACCCCAACTACAACTATGATGCTGAAGAAGATGAAGACGAGTCCATGGACATTGAAGATGACGACCAAGGTGTCACATATTACCCTCCACATGTTCTGAAATAGTGTTGTTGAGCAAACATGAATGGATAGTGGTTTCATGTCTGTATTCATCTGTCATTTTGCACGAGTAATCATGACAGCAATACTTATTTTTACCCTCAACCTGATTCCTGGCCCATCCAACCGTCACTTCACCAGGGTCCGATGAAGAATACAGTGACGACGACGACATGAGCTGGAAGGTTCGGCGTTCCTCTGTGAAATGCTTGGAGGCTGTGGTCAGCACACGGAGAGACCTGCTGTTGGAGTTGTATGGGTCTGTGGCAGCCGCCCTAGTGGGCCGCTTCAAGGAGCGCGAGGAGAACGTCCGCACTGAAATCTTCCTGGCCTTCATCTCCTTGCTCCGGCAGACACGACCGCTGCAGGGCTCTCCCCAGCCTGGAGATAAGGAAGACCCAGCACTTACCTTGCTAAAGAAACAGGTAGAGAGGAGACAATGCTGCACCTTCCCATGAACATCGCTTCCCCCAGGGCAGAAGTGTCAAAGATCCATAATGTTCTCTTAGTATTGTTACTGGTTTTGCAGGTCCCCACTATCGTAAAGGCTTTACACCGACAGCTGAAGGAGAAGAGCATCAAGTCCAGGCAGGGCTGTTTCAGTCTTCTCACCGAGCTGGCCGGCGTGGCGCCAGGCATCCTGGGAGACCACATACCAGCACTCATTCCTGGTGACCACAGGATTCCAACTAACATTTGTCCCTCAAAAGCCATACAAATAATGTCAGATAATATACAGGGTAGCTAAAAGTATAGTGGACATGTACTTTGAACCTGAAGGTTACCAATGTGAGACTCAGGAACTGCCCTACTATAGTACTCTTAAGAAAGTATTTTGAATTTATGAAATGTGTCTTAGTTGTAAAAGTATAGTTAATACTTGACTCCATTATGTTACTTACTGTCAAAATGGAATGTTAAGAGTTAACAGAAAATAGCCTGAAGTAACGGCAATGTTTCTTTCCACCAGGTATTGTGTATTCTCTCACAGATAAGTCCACCTCCTCCAACATGAAGATTGATGCTCTCTCCTTCCTCTACGTTCTCCTTTGCAATCAGTCTCCTGATGCATTTCACCCGCACATCAGTGTCATCCTACCCCCTGTGGTCTTGTGCATTGAAGACCCCTTCTACAAGATCACGTCAGAGGCCCTCCTGGTCACACAGCAGATCGTGAAGATCCTGAGGCCCCTTGAGAAACCCCAGTCTTCAACCTTTGATACCAGGCCTTATGTGAAGGACCTTTTTGCTGCTACTCTTAAACGGCTGAAGGCAGCAGATATTGACCAGGAGGTGAAAGAGCGAGCAATCTCTTGCATGGGCCATATTGTATGTCATCTGGGAGACCAGCTAGGTGCTGACCTACAGTCCACCCTGCAGATCTTCTTGGAGAGGCTGAAGAATGAAATCACAAGGTTGACCACAGTGAAGGCACTCACCCTTATAACAGCATCTCCACTCAAAATTGATTTGAGGCCAGTGCTCCCTGAAGGTGTTCAGATCCTAGGCTCCTTCTTGAGGAAGAACCAGCGTGCTCTCAAGCTAAGTACTTTGACAGCCCTGACTGTCTTGGTGACGAATTATAGTGACAGTCTCAAGCCTCCGATGATGGAGTCAGTTGTGAACGAGCTGCCTGCCCTCATCAGCGAAAATGACATGCATGTGTCCCAGATGGCCATCACACTGCTCACTTCCATGACTAAAGTTTGCCCTTCTTCTCTGACCAAAATTGGCAGCAATGTTCTGCCAGAAGTCCTCAACTTGGTGCATTCTCCTCTGCTGCAGGGTGGAGCCCTTGGAGCCATCCTTGAATTTTTTCAAGTACTTGTGGTAACTAAGGCCAGCAACATTGGTTACAATGAACTCCTTAAGGCCCTCACAGGCCCTTTCTATGGTTCTGAGAAGTCCAGAAACACCATGCCAATGCACAGACAGTCATATTACTCTGTGGCTAAATGTGTGGCTGCACTTTCCACCACATGCCCAAATGAGGCCTCAGCAATGATCAATAACTTTGTCCAGGAGGTCAAGAGTCCGAAGTCATCAGAGTCGACGAGGATCCTGTCATTCCTGTGTCTTGGGGAGGTTGGCCGGTGCATGAATTTGGGAGGCCAGAAGGAGCTGAAGACAATCATACTAGAGGCCTTCTCGTCCCCGCATGAGGAGATCAAGACAGCCGCTTCTTATGCCCTTGGTAACATCTGTGTGGGGAACTTGAAGGAATATCTTCCCTTTATGCTGAAGGAGATCGGCAGTCAGCAGAAAAGACAGTACTTACTACTGCACTCCCTGAAAGAAGTGATCAGTGCTTCCTCGGCCGAGAGCCTGATGCCTCATGTGGAGGAAATCTGGGCACTGCTCTTCAAGCACTGTGAGTGTGCAGAGGAAGGCACACGGAACGTGGTGGCAGAATGCCTGGGCAAGCTAACCCTAGTCAACCCCTCTCAGCTCTTGCCCCGGCTCAAGAAGCAGCTGTCTTCAGGTAATAGGTAACAGCATCATCAGGCCAGGAAAACTTGCTTTTATGCAGCTGACATGGGAAACCTTTCATTTCAGGTTCTCCTCACTCCCGCAGTACTGTGGTCACAGCCATTAAGTTCACCATTGTTGATCAGCCCCAGCCCATAGATGCACTCCTCAAAGACTGCATAGGTAAGAGGATGAACAAGACAGCTTGGATGTGTAATGGGAGTGTTGTGTTGCTCAGTGGGTTTGGATGCTGTGCCCGTAAAGGGAAAGTCTCCAGTTCATATTTTGTGGTCAACAGAATGATTTCACCATTAGGCCCTTAACTCCCAATTGCTCCAGGGACTGGCTGACCCTGCTCTCTCAATTGCATGTCGCTTTGGATAAAAGCATCTGGTAAATAAATAAATGCAATGACTCAGGTGGTGTCTGTGACTGTGTGTGTATTTTTTTGTTTGCCTGTCAGGTGACTTCCTGAAAACACTGCAGGACCCAGACCTGAATGTGAGGCGAGTGGCCCTAGTGATGTTCAACTCAGCGGCTCACAACAAGCCTGCGTTGATTCGAGGGTTACTCTCCTCTGTCCTTCCATTCCTCTACAATGAGACCCAGATTAGAAAAGAGCTCATCCGTGAGGTATCACATCACTGTCTGTGGATGTAGCAGTTAGAAATAAAACACATATTGCAGGGCTATTCAACTCACGGTCCTCAAGGGCTGAGCCCTGCTGATTTTCCAGCCTTCCTTCACCTGTGAGCCAGGTGTGAAGCCTCTGACCAATCAGAATTAGTCATTATTAAACTAACTACCTGGGAGAACTGAAAACACGGCCTGGATTTGGAATCGAGGGCCTGAGTTGAATAGCCCTGACATATTGTGTTTCATGGTGTTCCAATTCAGGGGTTGCATCCTTCTAAGACTGAGCTGAAAGCGTTGTGAAATGGGACGGTCTGCACTACAGTTAATTTCCTATTTGCATCACCAGTTGTTCTTGCTCCTACCCTTGCATCACAAAACGCCGCTCCAATTACCTAGCCGGGACACATCCACTTTACCTCCACGCAATTAATGTTGGGATAGACTGGGCCATGAAGGCTCTATCAGGGGCATCCTTCCAAGCACGGGAGAAGGACGCATTCCTAGGTCGCACTTGAAGGAGCTTTGAAATGGGACAGCCTTGATTGTTCAGCCTTGACCTTCATATGCTGCCTTTGAAGGATGCAACGCCTATACTGGGACACAGCCAATGTGTACCCAGAGGTACTGCAGCAGGTCTCCTCCCAGGAGGATTATTAAGAAGTACCTGTTAGCTGATGGATCTTCTAATGCAGGTAGAGATGGGCCCCTTCAAGCACACAGTTGATGACGGACTAGATGTCCGGAAGGCAGCATTTGAGTGTATGTATACCTTGCTGGACAGCTGCTTGGATTGCCTGGACATCTTTGAGTTCCTGAATCACGTGGAGGAAGGTCTAAAGGATCATTATGACATCAGGGTAAAATGAGAAATGCATGCAAATGTTAAAGACTTGAAATTATCACACGTTCCCTGAGTTAAATCTGAACTTAAGGTTGTTATAATAAAATGTATCAAATAGTTATATGACTAGAACTTTGTACTAGACAGGAAGTGTGCTTCAAAATGAGTCATGTTAACCTAAACCTCTTCTCTCTTTAAGATGCTCACCTTTATCATGCTGGCCAGACTTTCCTCACTGAGTCCCAGTGCTGTCATGCAAAGACTTGACCGACTGGTTGAGCCGCTTCGAGCCACATGCACTACCAAGGTAACACACTGCCTAGCACTACTCCTGCAGCCTTCAGTGCAGGGGATGTCCTTATAGGACCATATAAACCACCTTTGTGGATAAATACGATTGTGTATCACAGCACAGTCAAGGGAGTTCTTCATTCAAGGTTGTGTTAGAAGCTGCTGAATGTTAATGAGATTCAAGCAAGACATTGTGCTATATTTCCAGTAGAGGGCAGTATTGTTTCAAAACAATACAAACAATGTGCTCCATAACCACAGGTGAAGGCTGGCTCGGTGAAGCAGGAGTTTGAGAAGCAGGAGGAGCTGCGGCGGTCGGCAATGCGAGCAGTGGCAGCACTCCTGTCCATCAGGGACATAGAGAAGAGCACTGCCATGGCAGACTTTGCCAGTCAAATCCGCTCCAACGCCGAGATGTCCTCCATCTTTGAGAGCATTCAGAAAGATGATTCGACTTCTGGCATCACAGAGACCATGGACACCAGCTAGAACTGATCCTCCCAGTACTGCAATGCCTTAACAAAAACGTACTATTAAAATACCTGATTCTTCAAATCTCACATTTCATATTCTAGATATGAAACTGACAAAATTAGGGGGGGGGGGTTCCAATTTTTTAGTAATTCAAAGACTTTGCCTCCACTGTACTGATGATTCCAAATTCCCTCCAGTCTGTGGAATGAAATGATTTGCTCTGATCTATTCTGGTTTCTGTATTAGGGGTGGGCATTTAGTCTAAAATATATCACAGTTTCGGGCAGGATCACTATCCACAATCTCATCATGAGTCGTTTTCATTTTGGATTTTAAGACTATTTTGGAAGTTACTGAACAGTACAACCAAACTAATTCCATTATTAAAAAAAAATATCGCCCTATAAGGAGACAAAACCTAAAAGAAAAAATAAGAGAGTACTCTCTCGGGTGTTTTCTTTTGAGGTGGTTAAAAAGGTTTGTCATATTGTCATCCAATGTGTAAGCCTCATCTTGGCAAATTTTGCAAATAAACTGTGGGTTTTTGGAAAGCAAGTTACCCATAACTGATGCTGCTTTTTCGTGAACCAAGTCCTCCATGTCATCTGTGCCACCACACTGCCAAACAGGGAAGGTGTCGCATGTTGCGCATTGCATGCTGGGATGTTAGTACTGTGTTACAGTGCAAAGTCTAGCAATCTCTCCATAAAGGCAGATCATGGAGACAATTTAATCATGCATGATCTAATATCATTCAAGTCGCACCAAAAATTCCCATAAACAGACTCCTAAACCTTGTGGACAGCCATCCCAGGAGAGTTGAAGCTGTCATAGCTGCAAAGGGTGGGTCAACTCCTATTAAAGCCTATGTACTAAGGATGGGATGTCATTAAAGTTCATGTGTGTAAAGGCAGGTGTCCCAATACTTTTGGAAATATAGTGTACATTGTGTGTGATTTCGGCACAGTGGGTTCTAGAAAAATGTGACAAAGGTGGGAGTAGAGAGGAAGTATTGGTGTTAAGTGAAATCAAGAGCTGATAAACTAAAAACCAAGATATTCTTTTCTGTGCAACATCAAATGTTGCTTTAAAATTAAAACAACAAAAAATCTTCTCATTTCATTCTAGTCACAAACCGCTGTGATATTACGTTAAAAGTACAATTCACCCTGTATCTGTCAGCATCATAATGGTATTAAGCAACGATGCATTTAAATCCCACAGTGAGTTTTGAAACTTACTTCTTCCGATAGAAGGTTTAAACATTCCACCTGCAGGACAAGATTTTGATACAAAATAAAATCATTTCAACATAAACTGAAAAGCAACTTAAAACAGTTACTACCCATCAAAAATGGTAAGACAATTGCAATATTCACTCTGTCACAGGTTCTCTTCCATCGCCTGTCCATTAGGGGGTCAGGTATGGAATGGGTATTACCCTGTGATTCTCTCCCTCCTCAAAGCCCAACAAGAATATACCAGACTCTGCAGGGATCTCAGAGGAGGTAGGTGATACCAAATTACAACACGAAAAGTCCTAAAGTTTAAGAGTAGCTATAGGATAAACAAGACTCTGAATACCGGGTTGTGGAATTAGCCGTAAGCTGTCAATCATAGCCTAGTAACTTTAAATCGAGCAAAGGGAAGCTGGTTAAACCCTTGTGATAGATATAAGTGCATGGTAATAGGGTCCACGTGGAAATTTTTTATCCCCATTTCTCCCACAACTGTGGAGTTTTAGCACACAAAACTAAAAGCAATTTAAGAAATAACTGATACTCTGAGCATCAGTCTAGAAGCAGACCTATGTTAAATTTAACAAATGGCACCCCATGTGTCACCTCCCATTCCAAAAATGTTGTCATGGTTACTAATTAAGCAATTAGAAGATTTACAAAGACAATTACACATTTATTGCAAACTGTTTCTTACTTGTTGCTCATCATAAGAGCTTCCAGCTCCTTGATGTTGTGGACCAGGTAACTTCCTGAACCCTGAAGGCAGCATGTGTTTCGTCTTCTTGCTGCTGTCGTAACCGTCAGCATCAGCATTTGACCCTTGAATCTCCTTCGGACCCTGTTGTCTGTACCAGAGCATGTGAGCGAAGTGGAGCGGTGAGAATTTCCGCTCCTCGCTCAGTAGGCTGTTGGCTCCGCCCACTCCTCCGCTCTAATTCGCACTACGCCGCTCCGCTCAACACCGCTCCTCGCTCCACTAAAATTTCCTCCCGCTCCAGTCAAATCGCTCCACGCTCGCTCCAACTTAAAAGAGGGTCAAATAATCTGCATGCCTAACAAATGTCACCTTAAACCGAAGCCTTATATCATAAAGAAATATGAGCAACGGCAACATTGCCACATTTTTAAGCAACATATATAGGCAACAGCGGACACGTTTGGCAATGGCATTCCACACAAAAATAGGCTTAAAAATAAAGGAATCAATGGTCTTAATAGTCTAAAGAATATACAGGCTAAGCATCTACGTTTTAAATTCCTCAATTTTTCCTGTTGATGCTGCTGCTGCGTCTCTATAAAATAAAATTTCACTGACAGCGTTACGTGAAATTTAAAAAATCCTATTAGACCTACTTTGAATGACAAAACGATTTTATTTGATTACCAATATAGGCTTTTATACTTTCATTTATAGACTTGATATACTACAACCATATGAAACTTGCTCACGTTTTGCTCTGGCTTCCGTCTGTTCGCATAAAAGACTCTCGTGTTTCTGAGAAAAATGATTCCAAAGTGTATCTTTACTCACTGAAACAGTTTCACCACCTTTCACATTCTTGCTCTACATTATTGTCATCTATACGTTTGATAAGAATATTACACTTGTATTATCTATCAGTTTCCTTTGTGAAATACATTGCGAATTCCATCTCGGCCAATTTCTGTAATAGTCTTGATAATTGTACAGATGAATTCTGGGTAGATTTGGGCACGCCTCAGAATCGTAGTGTGAGCGGTATCGGAGCGAAATTGGAGCGAGACAGAGCGACCGCTCCAGCCTTAATTAAAAAACCGCTCCGCGCTCTGACTAAATTCCGACCGCTCCGCTCCTCGCTCACACTCCGCTCACATGCTCTGGTCTGTACCTCTAGGTTTGCGCCAATTTTTCTAAGGGATAAACAAACATTATTCACTCACTCACTCACTCTCTCTCTCACACACACACACAAAAGCACAAATAAAGAGCACAAAGCAAACAGTATTACACATCATTAGAAGTACATACCTTGATTTTCACACACCGGTCTGACTGATGGCGTATTAATTTTTTTGTTCTTTTCTTTAAAATTTTTGGCTTGATCAGGTGTCTACGGGTCGCCATGGTACCTATAAACGTCAGCAGTCTACTCGTTTATAGCTGATAGTTGTTCAGTATTATCAGGCAGCAAAGTCAGCATTCTGACAGCTATAACAGACGTAGTACAGATGTAGTGCTGGGGTAGTAGATCACTCCGAGAAAATGACAGTTTAAGCAAATACTTAGCTTTACCAGACATCTATAGAAAAAATGCGAAGCGTCCTTAAATTTAATTATGTCCCAAAGCTATCCGACAGCCTAATTCAGATTGGGCGAATGAATTAAAATTCTGATTTACTTCAGCCGATAAACTGATAAATATTAGTACAAGCAAACGCCATATGTACGTAGTGAGTTATCAATTACTAGTCAAAGTTTCTCTGAGAAATCCTCCACAAAACAGCTGGAAAATAAGATGACAGGTGACTCTTACAGCAGTGTGAAGGTGGCAAGAATAAGGGGGACACTTCCGGTCGCTGTTTCCGCTTATTGTGTCAAAATAAAAGTTCTGTTTTCATACGCGATTAATGCATTTCATGGTAAATAATATGCAAGAATAATCAAAAGTGCTGCGATATATACTTACATCGTCAAATTTTATAATAAAATAAATGTATTAATAGATTAAGAAAATTATATATTTACCTTATTTTATACCTAGTATATTTAAAATATTTCGTTTCTTACACAACTTTCCTTCTTACTTTAAATTAATTTTAACCATCAAAAAAGTACGAGAACTGCACAAAATTTTATAGCATATTTTATTTAATAAAAATAAGCATCATCAAAAAGTTTGCTGGGTTTGGAAATTAGTCCCCTACGTGAAAGTAGACCTCATTTCACATAGGTTAAATGTATATAGCCTACATAAGACAAATTTAAAGGATTGTATCAGCTTCAAAATTAGTTAAGTACATTCTACTACTGCTATTTGAATAGAAACTAGTGTCAGATATATCCAAAAAGTGTACTACTTTCTGTTCCAGGAGAGCTTGAATCAGTTTGAAGCGGAAACAATCCTTTATGTTTGTGTTATGCAAATGCATTTGTCCTTTGTGAAATCAGGTCTAATTCACGTTGGGGGGACTATGTTCCAAACCCAGCAAACTTTTTGCTGACACTTATTTGATATTAGTGGCACTTGTTTCTATTCAAAGAGCATTAGTGGAATGTACATAACTAGGTTTGAAGCTGGCACAATCTTTTAGATTTGTGTTATGCATATACAGTGGTTCTCGAACTTAATCTGTTCCGGACTCTGGATCAAATCCTTAAAAGTTTGAGTTCTGATCGAATTTTTCCCATAAGAAATAATGGAAAACCAATTAATTGGTTCCCGGCCCCCAAAAATTACACCTAAATATGTTTTTTTTTTTAGCATTTAAACACAAAATTAACAGGAGAAAACAAGAGCCGCATTTTTTTCTTAATGGCTTCCAAAACGATAAAGATCTTATCCCAACATTACCCCTGTCCTGCCCCAATCGTCTGCTCCTTCCGTGTGCCACACCCACTCGTTAACCTCGTGTGGGATCCCCATGTGATCAGCTGTTTCTGGTTGTTGTCATTAGTCCTCTGTATTAAGTCCACGTTTCAGTTTGTTTCAAGAGGGTCTAGCTGCAGACGCCTGTAGAGTGGAGCTCCACCGGAAATACATCACCTCCACAGGAAACACATGATCTTTAAGGACGTAAAGTGGAGCTCCGGGAGTCCAGTTAGGGTTAAGGTTAAGGTTAGGGTTAGGGTTAGGGTTTATTCGCTGTGACACAGAGTTGAGGCCACGTGTTTCCTGTGGAGGTGACGTATTTCCGGTGGAGCTCCACTCTACAGGCGTGTGCAGCTGGACCCTTCTCGTTTGTTTCGCCAGTCCGGTCATTGGGTGCGTTCGACTTGCTTACAGCGCTGGCTTAGAGCAACGCATTCTGATCCTGACGCAATGCATTACGGTTAGATGCATTGCGATCTCTCACCCGGCTGCACAAACTGGAACCGCCTCCGTGACGACACACTTTTGCCCTTATTTGCTGAAGAGTCTAGTTACACGCATGACGTTTGTATCCCAGGCAGTACCGATGCGTAATCTGCTATTTCTCCTGAATATCACGTAAAGCAGTGAGAACTGGTTTTCAGTTCATTTACCTGGTAAAATAAAGTTTAAATAAATGACATAAATGCTCTAATAGTACATGTAAGTAAGAGGTTTATTTATTGTTATTTACTGTAATGTTGCG